GAGATGACCGAGGGGGGGAGGGAGAGGGGAGGGGAGAAAAACCGCCCCTTCCCAGGAGACCACCCTGGATCCGCCTATTCTCCCTGTTCTTTTGCTCCCCTTTCCGTGGTCTTCCGAGGCTAGCCGAGTTTAGTAGTTTCCCTTAGCACTAAGTGCTGTGCCAAGCATAAAAATCTTGGGACATCCCGCCTCCGTAAAACGCGCCTCTGCTTCCAATTCCTGTCTTTCAAACAAAGTCCTTCCACTCACGTGGTCTTCGACTGCAGCAGCGGAAGACAGCGAAGAGTGTCAGCACTTTATTCTCCATAAAAGCTTCAGTTCAATAAAAAGACGAGTCGAGGCGTCGCACAAGCTATTTTGCCGAAGGGGGCCGCTGGTCGTGTCGAGGCGGATAGTTAGTAGCGTTAGTTGGGGCAGGACATGACAGACCAGTGACGCGCGTTGAATCCGAAACTGCGAATCTGGGCCTTTGGAGGGGTTTATATAGGGAAAAATAATGGAGCGAAAAGGAAGGCAAAGTAGTTAGTAAAAGAGGAGGTAGGTAATATTGAATTATTTAGAATTTGGTGGAATTGTTAGAAATTAGTGAGTGGAGGGAAGTAGGTCGAAGTGTTAAAGATTAGTGAGTGGAGGGAAATAGGTTGAATCATAGGGTTACACCAGCAGTATATTGTTTCATTGGAAAGTAAGAAAAATTACTGCAAGTTTTGTCGCACAAAGAATCACGCAGAATCATTTCGTTTATTTCAACGGTAACGTTTTTCAGAGCGATGCTGGAGGCTGGAGAGGATGTTGCCACATGTCCCAGTTGCTCGCTTATTGTTCGAGTAATCTATGATCCCGATATTTTCATTAATCTTGAGACACTACCAACAGCAAAAACTGCGCACCCAGCCAAAGTGAGCAACGCATAAAGAGGTGCCCCTTTCAGCTAGTGTGAAGCGTTTCTCGGAATGAGTGACACAGTCAGCCGGCTGATTGCTACGGGTTTCCTAAGCAGTAGGCTACTGAATACTACACAGTAACTTTTGCGATAAAAATGAATCTGTGTATTCCTGTTCAGTGTGTTTCAGCGTTTGTGCCACATCTCATAGATACGATTGCACCTCTCTCTGTCTCTCACTTCCACTCCTCCATGGTTATTCCAATTAGCCAACAAATGCCTCCGGGATTTTTAGCCTCTCGGGATGGGAACGGACAAAATCTGCGATTTTACAAAAATAGCGGTCACACGTACCAGTCATTTGTCTTTGCCTGCTCATCTGTTTTTGTACATGTTACTTTCGGAACATGAACAAGAGCTCGATGAAATTTGAAACGAAATATCTTGTTATAGAAATCCCTTTCCAAATTCTGTTATGTCTTGTTGATTTAATTACAAATTTTACCACTCTGGTGCATATTTTTACGTCTTATTTCTCTGTATATTCGATGGTTCCAGCTGATGGGAATGTCGTGCCACTATCGTCAAAACAGTGTTTTAGTATTTTCCAATCAGCACCAATCGCATTCTTACTTCGTGTCAGTACATGTCATGCTTTCGTACACGAAATGTTGCCACTCTTGGGTCATAATCCGAGTCAGCTTTAACTTATGTATTGTTGCGAGTCGTCGTTAACTACTTTTTATGCGTTTTGTGTTGTGTAACAGCGTTACAAAACGCATATTGTTACGGGGTTGTCTGTGCGTCTGTGTGTTTGTATGTGTGTGTGTTTGTGTGTGTGTCCCACATTTTGTCCCGCACTTTCGACTCGGGAACCACAAAAGCTAGGCGGCTGAAATTTTGATACAGTGTTCCCCGCCAACGGGTGACGCGGTAAATTTAAATTCAGCCTCCCCGTACCCGCGGGTAACTCGTACGGCCGCATGAAAGTTTTTTACGGGTAAATTAATATCTCAGGAACCACGGAGTCCAGGTGGCTGAAATTTTGCAGTAATAACTCCCTGCCTACGCTCAACCTTGCCTATTCAAATCCAGCGTTCCCTCGCTGTTGAGTAT